TTTCGTCTTTCTTTGTTTTTCTTTCTTGTTTTTTATTTTTTATACTTTTTTTCTTTTTTACTTCTGTTATTTCCACTGTTTTACTTTTGTTTCCTCTGATTAAATTCTCTCTTGTGATTATTTCGCTTTTTTCTTTAATTTTCTTGTGTTTAGTTTTTTTCATTAATAATTTTTTTTGCGTGTTTTTCTCTCGGTTTCATTGATTTTTTCTTACTTATTTACTTACGCCTGTTACTCCCGATGTAGCATAGGCCGCCAACCGGCATTCTCCCCCACACTCTGTCCAAAGCCTTCTTTTCCAGATTCATCCAATTACTGTTCATTCTTCTCATGTCTATCTCCATTTCTCGGCGTAATGTGTTCTTTGGTTTTCCTCTCCTCCTTCAGCCTTCAGGATTCCATGTGAGGGCTTGTTTTGTTACGCAGTTCGGTGTTTTCCTCAATGTATGTCTTATCTACTTCCAGTGCTTCTTCTTGATTTCTTCCTCCACTGGGATCTGATTTGTTCTCTCACACAGTAGGTTGTTGCTAATAGTGTCTGGCCAACGGATCCAAAGTATTTTTCGTAGACAACTGTTAATAAACACCTGTATCTTCTGGATAATGGCTTTTGTAGTTCTCCAGGTTTCCGTCCCATACAGTAGAACTTTCTTGACAATTTTTTTAAAGATCTTGACGTTGGTGTTAATTGCCAACTCCTTTGAGTTCCATATGTTCTTCAGTTGTAAATATGCTGCTCTCGCTTTGCCGATCCGCTTTCACATCTGCATCAGATCCAACATATTCATCAATGATGATGCCCAAATATGTAAAGGTTTGTACATCTTCCAAATCTTCTCCGTCAATTGTGATTGGATTGGTGAATGCTGTGATGTGCCGGAGAATCTTGCTTTTCCCTTTGTGTATATTGAGCAAGGGCTTGGGATCGTCAGTAGCCCCCGGAGAGACTACGGGCGGAATTGCCGTGCTTTTGAAGTTGTTCTAAAACAATGTCCAGATACTATGGACGATTTTCTCTGTTCGGAACTGCAATCAAGCAGTCATCTACATACGCGTACATAAAGTTCAGACCTCGAAAAACGACATCCATGAATCTTTGGAAAGTTTATGTAGCATTGCTTAAACCAAAAGGCACGCTCAAAAATCCGTAGAATGGGAAGGGGCTGATGATATCTGTTTTAAGTGTGTCTTCCGCAACAACAGGAATTTGGCTATATGCTTTAATCGGATTGACATTTCGGAAATCTGTTTTACATTATTATGGCAGTTTTCAGGCCGTGGGTGTTCGGCGAGGGATAACGATCGTGAGTGTTCATCACATAAAGTTGTCGTTCATCACCAGCTGGACGCCAGTCGTTGCTATCCTTTTTAGGGTCCATGTGCAACGGAAATTACTACGAACTATTTGATGGCCGAGTAATTTCCTGGTCTATCATGTGGTCTATTTCGTTTTCGGACAGCCTTAGCTATCTCGGGAGACAGTCGGTATGTCTCCGTCACTTGTGATTGGATTGGTAAATGCTGTGTTGTATCGGAGAATCTTGCTTTTCCCTTTGTGCATATTGAGACCTACTGCTGCTGAGGCTGCTGCTACACTGGTTGTCTTCTCCTGCATTTGTTGTTGCGTGTGCGATAGAAGAGCCAGATCATCTGAGAAGTCTAGATCATCCAATTGCATCCTAGCTGTCCACTGTATCCCGTGCTTCCCTTCAGATGTTGACGTCTTCATAATCCAGTCGATCACCAGGAGAAAGAGAAAGGGTGAGAGTAAGCAACCTTGCCTGACACCGGTCTTTACTTCGAACGACTTTGTCAACTGTCCTCTATGCACGATTTTGCAGTTTAATCCATCATAGGAATTCCGTATGATATTGACTATCTTCTGAGGCACGCCGTAGTGTCGAAGAAGCTTCCACAGTGTTGTTCTGTCCACGCTGTCAAATGCTTTTTCGTAGTCAATAAAGTTGAGTCAGAGTGATGAATTACATTCAATTGGTTGTTCCACAATGATCCGTAGAGTTGCGATTTGATCTGTACACGATCTATCCTTACGGAATCCCGCCTGTTGGTCTCAAAGTTTGGCGTCTACGGAGTCCTTCATCCTGTTTAACAATACCCTGTTAAATAACTTTCCTGGTATTGAGAGAAGAGTGATGCCTCTGTAGTTATCACAGTTGCTGAGATCGCCTTTCTTTGGTATTTTGACTAGAACTCCTTCTTTCCAGTCTTCTGGTACCTGTTCCTCATCCCAAATCTTCCTGAAGAGAATGTGGAGTACCCTTGCAGTTACCGCCACGTCTGCTTTCAGTGCCTCTGCTGGAATGCTGTCTAGTCCTGCTGCTTTGCCACGCTTGATTTGTCTGATAGCCATGCTGATTTCTTCAATTGTCGGTGCGCCAACATCAATTGGGAGGTCTGTGAGTGCTGCTTCGATGTTGGGTGGGTTTAGTGGGGCTGGTCGATTCAAGAGTTCTTTGAAGTGTTCTACCCACCTGTTTCGTTGTTCTTCAATGTTGGTGATTATCTTGCCTTCCTTGCTTTACACTGGTCGTTCTAGTTTACGGTGATTTCCAGAGAGTTTCTTTGTTGTGTCATACAGTTGTCTCATGTTTCCTTCTCTGGCAGCCTTTTCCGCCGTCACTGCTGAATCTTCCACATATTTAAGTTTGTCGGTTCTGATGCTCCTCTTCACTTGCTTGTTAACTTCTGTGTATTGAGCTTGTGCCTAGGCTTTTTCTGCTCTTGTTCGACTGGTATTGATTGCTGCTTTCTTGTTCCTCCTTTCTTGAATCTTATCCAGTCTATCGACCGTGATCCATTCCTCGTGATGGTGATTCTTGTGGCCCAGAACTTCATGACATGCTGAAATGATTGTCTCTTTTATCTCTTTTCAGTTGCTCTCTATAGTAGTTCCTTTTCCATGTAGTACATCATGAAAGGCCCGGAACTTATTGCTTGAATTTGTTGAGTTTATCAGTATTTCGAAGAAAAGCCGTATTAAACTTTTGTGATATTGTCCGCCCCGTTGTCCAGTGCTTTTTAAGTGATGATCTGATGCTATATCAGCTTCTCCCTTGGTTCTCACGTCCTCCATTGTCCTCCTGAACCTTTTGTTGATGCAGGTATGGTCAATTTGGTTTTGTGTGATGTTATCCAGTGAAGTCCATGTGGTTTTGTGGATGCGTTTATGTGGGAATATAGTGCTGCCTATGACCAGTTTATTGAAGACACATAGGTTTGCAAATCTCTCACCTTTTTTATTCCTTTCTCGCAGTCCATGTCGTCCCATGATGTCTTCATATCCGGTGTTGTCCGTTCCAACCTTGTTGGGCACTTCTCGACGATTGACTGCAGCCTATCGTAGAATTGATCTTTAGCGTCTTCATTGTAGTCGTTGGTAGGCGCGTAGCATTGGATGACGTTCACTGAAATGTCCTCTTTCGTTGTTTTGAAGGAAGCTTTGATGATCCTTGGTCCATGAGATTCCCATCCTATAAGTGCATTTTATACTTCTTTGGACAGCGTCAATGCAACTCCTTGTGTATGTGGGGCATTTTCTTCTTCATGATCGGATTATAACAGCAGCTTTCATGAAGCTAGTCGTTGTTGTCCAACTTGCGTCCAATGGGTTTCACTGATCCAAAGCACCTCTACGTTGTATCTTCTCATTTTTATAGCAATTTGGAAGACCCTTCCAGTCTCCCACATTGTACGAGCATTCTATTTACCTAAATAAATGGTTGCTCTGGTTATCAAAAAGGGGAATCAGCCTCGTGACTTCTGAAGGAACTCGGCTTTCATCATGAGGCATCATAACTCTTCTAAATGAAAACCTTCTGACTCCCAGGGCAGGGTTTAAATGGTTTGAGTGATTTTTTCTGGTTAGCGTTTTTTTAGCGAGTTAGTTTTCTACGAGATGGGGTCGCTAACCCCATACCCAACCCTCCTCCTTTATCCGGGCTTCAGACCGGCAGTAGCACCCGGAGGGACTCCAGGCTGACTTTTATTCCTTTTTGACCGTTTTTATCTTTTGTCTTTATTTTCCTTGTTTCATTTTCTTTCTATTACTGATGCTTCTTCTCTATTTTTTGCATTTTACATTGAGTAATTTTTTCAATTTTTCTGATCTTAATAATTTTTCAAAGTTATTTCATAATTCTCATTTGTCTTTAATGGAACATGCTGTGTAGATCTTATAGAGTAAATAGAATATTTCCTCTTACTATTCACTGATATTTTGTCAATAATTCATACGGTCTATTTATATACTCAAATCTACTTTAGAATTGTTGTCTTTATTCCGATTATATATATATATATATATATATATATATATATATATATATGGTTTTCTTAATAATTTTAGTAATAACTTTCTTTTATTTCCCAATCTTTTTGCAGTGTTTAGTTGTTTTCAGTTAGTTAAGTTTTATGATAAGAATTTTTGTCAAAGCGAAAGAAATATTTTCCTAGTATTTCTCATTTAAGTAAATGATAGTGGTTTTTGTTCAATTAAGGTTATAATTAAAAACATTCCTGACTTCATTATTTAAGTAGATAGATAGATAGATAGATAGATAGATAGATAGATAGATAGATAGATAGATAGATAGATAGATAGATAGATAGATAGATAGATAGATAGATAGATAGATAGATAGATAGATAGATAGATAGATAGATAGATAGATAGATAGATAGATAGATAGATAGATAGATAGATAGATAGATAGATAGATAGATAGATAGATAGATAGATAGATAGATAGATAGATAGATAGATAGATAGATAGATAGATAGAAGACGTATTCAGAGCTTATCTAAAACTGTTGAACTTTTACATTAGTCTATTCATTTCATAAATTTTCTAAACTATATTTTTTTAGCCATAACCACTGATGTTGAATATTATGAAAATTATGAAGATATATCTACCACAACTCGATTAAAGAAAATTTCGAAAAGAACTACAAATTCAGTAGATCAGTTCAAGCCAATTATGAAGAAAACTATTATATACAAAGAAAAACCTTCATCAAATTCATCAGATGACTATTGTAAGTCATAATAAAATTGTTAATTTATTACCATACCTTAGTGTTTTAACATTTTGTTTATCTTTTCAGAAATTTAAAACAATTAGTCCCTTTTTGATAAATTTCGATAATGTAATAAAAAGACGAAGTTTATCAGAATTATGTGATATATATTTGCGCAATACATTTCGAATAATCTGATCACACATAATATACTTGTTAAGACTTTTTTATATGAAAATTAAAAGGTCAACTAGATAGATTAAAGGTAAGAAGTATTAGTTATAAAGTAGGGGTTTTGTGGAGATACTAATCAACATATGGTCACTAGTGACTGGTTTCAAGATGCATATCCTGGAGTTCTAGTGAGAACCAGTGACCAATGGAGTTCAACCGGGTCAGTTGTGAGATAGTAACTCACTGATGACAATGGTGGATGTGTCACTCAATTTCATGGATTAGTTAATGTTAAACATTAACATTGTCGAATGCCGGCTCAGTGTCTAGTGGTTAAATGCTCGCGCACGAGACTGTTAGATCCTGTGTTTGAATCCTGCGAGGCGGGGTCGTGGATGCGCGCTGCTGAGGAGTCCCATACTAGGACGAAACGGCCGTTCATTGCTTTCAGGTTTTTCATGGTAGTCTAGCTTCAATGGACTCATGAATTCAACGATTAAAATTATTATAATATCCACAAAACCCCCTCAGATTATAATATTATTATTGATTAGATTTTCATAAAGACTAAATCTGATATAGAGTAATATTGATACTCTTATAGAAAATCTAATAGGCTATGAATTAATTCTTTCTACCAGCGGTTTGACCCTTGACATCTCTTTCGTTTCACTTCTTCACTATACTAGACTGATTATTCACAAAATTCTTATTAAGTAACATTTTGTAGTTGTTTTTTTAAAGTTTTGATCTACTTCCCATTTGAAAATATTGATTCAAATTTTTATTTTTTTGTCACTACTAGTAAACTTGTCGTCTTGCTATACTCAAATTATCATCTTTTGTTATTGCATCTTTTTCATTATTAGCATTGACTTATAAAGTACACTGTACAGCAGAAGAACTGGAGACTAAAATTTATGGACGACTTTTGAGCGACGCTAGAGTGACTTTGAGTGTGTCCACCTAATAACTAGGACCGGATGGAGGTTATAAACTAGTTTGATGAATTAGAATTGTGATTTATGGTTGATGATTAGAGTTAGGAATTAGATTTGATGTTTTCATCATAAACTAACATCAGCTGTAATGCCTAAGCTCTATTTAGCCAAATGGATGAGAGAAATTCATGTCAAAATCCAAAACCTGTTATCCTATATCTGATTAGTTCATCTATAAACTGTAGTTTCGCCGAAGAATTCTTACTCATATAAACCTCATATTTAACTCCTACATTTCATATAATCTATTTGAACTGCACACTTATTATATTTCATGAAAGTAAACATTACCATTTGTTATCACACATACTTTCTCCATTTCTGTTTCTTTTTTATTCAGATGATGAAGTGGTTGAAACAACATGGGTTGTTAAACTGGGTGATAAAAATATAACTGATAAAGATCTACTCAATTATCTTAATAATCAAACAAAAGATGAAGATTTATTTGAACGTAAGAATGAAAGTAAAAATTCAGGTATGGTACACCTTTATTATTATTTATTATCTGTAGTGTAGTTAGTATTCAGATTACTTTACACATAATAATCGAAATGAGAGAATATATATATTCTGGTTAGAAAATTAGTGATATTCAATTCAAGATATTTGAGGATATACTGCATAAATGAATGAATTTCATATTATACAATAACAGCATATAAGGAATAATCAGAGAGGGATTTTGTGGGATGCGCACTGTTAAGGAATCCCATACTAGAACGAAACGGCCGTTCAGTGCTTCCAGGTTTTCCATGGTGGTCTAACTTCAATTAACTCATAAATCCAACTATTAAATTAATATAAGGAATACATAATTCTATAGTAATGTTTAGAAATGTTCAAGGGCAACTAAATAGATTGGTTAAAACTTTAATTATATGAAATTTTAAACGGCTTAGTGTGTATTTGTAGTGTCAGTTGCTATGTTAAGCCCATGTACCTTATTCTAGCTTCTAAATAAGACAATTTGTTCATTTCTCTTGAGTAATATTTTGATCTTGTTAATTATTTACTTATCAACCTTTACTGTTTTTATATGAGCGTATGTGTGAGTGCACTTCTTATCCTATTCATCACATCTGTGTAACTTATTTATGTGTGAATATAAATATTGATTAACACTTGATTAAATGGAGTTGGCTCACATGCCTTCTCCACTGCGCGCCGTTTTGTTTCGCCTTCTCTTCTTCGCTTCCTTTGCTACGTCTCTCTGATTATCTGTTCCAATCCACGATTGTACAAAATATATGTATTCGAAAATACATTCTCGTATTTGACTTATTTAATTCCGTTATTGATTAACACGATCTAATTCGATAATATATACGAGGATCGACGATATATATATTTGAATAACATCCATACGATCCAACTGAATTCAGATAAGGTGTCACTAAATACCCCTGTCTTTGTGCTACATATACCAATTCATTATTTTACTATTATAACAGAATCAATTATGTTTTATTGATAATTCCTTTTTTTAAAAATGAATAACACAGTCTACAATCATTACATTGGTTAGATTTACATTTAAAAGATAAAGAAATCACTATGAAACTTATGGTAACTTTCTTTTCAATTACTATGAATATGTAAGGATTGAAAAGATAAACAAGAATATTGTGATGTGTGCTACGGATGTCGACAGGTATATAACCTACCTAACGGTAGGTTAAACAGATTGAAGTAAAAAAGAGAATAGGAACAAAGAATGATTTTTATGAAAATGAAAGAACAATGAAGTCTAAGACGATTGATTGACACTTTGCAAATGAACCATTTATTGTATGGTTATCAAGTTTTACTAAGATGTTCTGCAATTTTGTATTTAAATACATTCGACTGTCTCCACTTGTGTTCTCGTTCAGTAAAATACTACTAAAATAGGTTATCCAGATAACGAACAATACAATAACTTTGACATGATCATAAATCCATACTACTGAAAAGCAGTATGCTACGATGAAACCGTTATCCAATACTCTTTAATTTTTTGCTAGCTACCCACTTAAGTTTTGACACTATGGAGTACCTGAGATCGTCAATATCATCCTTAATTCATACGATTAACTACAGTGCAAAGTCGTGCATGCAAGATAGCTGACATACGCTTTCCAAGTAAAAACCAATGTCAGACAAAGCTGTCTAATCTCTCCCATCATCTTTCTTCTGGTGGTTGACTGGATAATGAAGACCTCGACTTCTGAGGGAAAGTACGGAATACAAGAGATAACTCAGAACCGATTGGACGATTTGAACTTAGTAGATGACCTAACCCTTCTATCCCATACACACGAACAAGTACAGATGAAGACAGCCAGTGTAGCAGCAGTCTCTACATCAGTAGGCCTAAACATACACAAAAGCAAAAATCAACATCATCAAATACAACACGGAGAACACCAATCCAATCACACTTAGTAGAAAAACTCTGGAAGATGTAGAATTCTTCACATACCTGCCTGGGCAACATCACTGATGAACAAGGACGATCTGATACAGATACAAATAAGAGGATCGACAAAGCAAGGGCCGCAATCCTACAATTGAAGAATACATGGAACTCAAAACAGCTGTTAACCAATATCAAACTCACATTCTTCAATATGAACGCCAACACTGTTCGACTGCACAATGCTGAAACATGGAGAACTACGACAACCACCATCAAAATGGTACAAGTATTTATAAACACTGTCTATGTGAGATACCCAATGTGCGTTGACCGAATACCACAAGTAACAGCCTTCTGTGGGAGAGAATAAACCAGCTTCTATCTGAAGAGGAAATCAAAAGAAGACGTTGGAAGTGGATAAGACATGAACTACGAAAATCACCAAACTGCATCACGAGGCAAACGCTAACTTGGAATGCTGAAGAGAAGCAGAAAAGTAGAAGGCCGAAGAACACACTACGTTAGAGATCGGAAACACATATGAAAGGGATGTATAACAACTGTAAAGATGTGGAAAGCATTGCCCAGGACAGGTTTAGATGGCGAGTGTTGGTGAGTGGCTTATGCTCCCCCACGAGGAGTAACAGGCGTTAGTAACTATCCACTTAAATTCAATCGTACTTTGTATAAAAAACCACATTCTTTTTTTCATGTCGAAATAGATAAAAACCCAACAGAAACCGAAACTTCCTGGTTTACAATGGGTAGAAATACAAATCTAACAGACAAAGAGATTATGAAGTTCTTTGATAATCAATTGGATTTAGACGACCTGTTAAAAACAGTTTTACCAACTGGAAAAGAAAAAACACCTCCACGTAAGTAAATAGAATGGATATATATATGTTATACTTTAAATGAAATATTTAATATATTAAATGAGATAAATAAGGAATAATACTATTGTTCGGTAGATGGAGACAATTGAAAAGAAACTATTGATGTAGGTTTCATACTATGTGGCACTTTTCAGTAAGTTGTGCCTGTAATCTCAAGGTTACCGACGTTCCTTGCATTATTCCACTCAAATATTAACTAGGTTCACAGTTTGAGACCTTACCATTGAGTTTTTTTCAGGCTGTAACTGACCCTTTTCAAAACTGAAATATTTACTACTGGCTGATCCCTGATTAATGATCAATTTCATGTTTTTCTAGTCCATTCAGTGATAACGGAATTTAAATCTAATAAAAATTTCCCATATCCTAATCAAAATACTGAAATTTTGTTAAGAAAAAGCCAATTAATATGATACTTACGAGCTACAAACCTTACAGAATGACCAATAATTAAAGGCTCGAAATTGAACCAATTAACTTCTAGCCTATAATCCATTTAACTTTGTCAATTAGCCAATGAGTGAAAAGGAACTACAAAGTATGAGACAAAGTCTAGAAAACAAAAATGCCAGTCGTAATAGTACACGCATAGGAAATAAGTAATCACGTCTCGTACAGACAAAAAATGTTACTAAGAAAAACAATCGGATGACACTTCTTTCTAGACTACATGTTAATGACATTTTCTAGAGACATCACAAAAAATATTTTACAATTAAAGTATACAATGATATAATTTCCGAGTATAATTGTAAAAATAGGAACATTTTTAATACAGAATAGGACTAAAAATATCATTCGTCACAGTTCATACGAGCAGTTTTGATCAATAACACATGTCATTAATCTGAACTAATTCAAAGAGTAAAAAATGGTCTTCACTAAGCTACGTTGATCTACGTAATCTATGCTCAGTAGTACAGTTTGCCTCGTCTTTGACATCGATGGCTTAAAATATTTCTCTCTGTTTCAGATGTACTACGATAATGAGACTAGTTAATTTATATCACATCCAGGACTCCAAATCAGAATAGAAAACTAGATCAATATTAGATAATACTTTATTCAACACAGTTACAAACAGTTAAACTCAGTCCGGAATAGAAACCAATGAGAGGAAAGAAAATCAAGGTCTTCATAATTCAGTCAACCATCGAAAGAAAGAGGAAGGGGAATACATCTATCAGCTGTCCTCCATGCACAGCTTTGCACTGTAGTTCGGCCTCAACATACACAAAACAACATTGGAAATGCACTTGATATTGTTTTACTTGAATCTTCCCATTGATGTTTAGGGCTGCAATTGATCAGTCTCTCATATTGGCATATGTGCATACTGTGCGTATTGCCTCGATATTGCGTTAATTGACAAGCATTATAAGCAAAGACGGATAGTGGCTAGCAGTGAAATCCGCTTTGACGCGCGTGTCGTCCTATTTGGGACTCGTCAGCTGGATGTACCTGCATCTCACAGTTGATGTTCACTCTAGGACTAGAACCCAGTACCGTCTGCTTCAAACACCATCGCTTTATCTACTGGGTTCGAGTCCCGGAGTGAACATCAATTCTGAGATGCAGGCACATCCAGCTGACGAGTCCCAAATAGGACGAAACGCGCGTCTTGGATTCCACTGATAGCCACTATCCATCTTTGCTTATAACATTGGAAATGGATAGAACATACATTATGCAAGTCATCAAACTGCATCACGAGGCAAACGCTAACTTGGAATGCTGAAGAGAAGCAGAAAAGTGGAAGGCTGAAGAACACACTACGTCAGAGATCGGAAACACATATGAAAGGGATGTATAACAACTGTTTAGATGGCGAGTGTTGGTGAGTGGCATATGCTCCTCCACAAGGGGTAACGAGTGTAAGTATGGCTAAGTGTCTTTGTTCACGCTCAGTGATCAATCGCATTTCATTGTCACTACTGATCATCACATTCAAATAGAAATTTAAATGTTTCGATTCTCTCAGCTTACTTTTTTCGACTTTATATCTCATTTCACATCGTTTCATCCAGGTACTTTATACGATGAAATTATTAACATATCAATGTATAAATTATATTTATATTTTTTAAGGTGAAGTGGTCTCAAGGAAAGTTTGGATCTCAGATAATCTTGACAAAGAGTTAAAAGAATGGAATATTGACAAACTTGTACAAGATACATTTAAAGATATATTAAAACAAAGTAAGTAGATGGTTGTTGTTGTTTTCTTTGAAATACCTTGAAAGTATGATTGTTTACATAATAATAATACAAAATATATCAATCCATTTCATAAATTTTAAAGAAAAAAACATACATCCAATTCAGTTGATTTTGAAATACTGTTGACTGATGAAAATAATCATAACGTTTATATCAGTCAGTTAGTCAGCTACAGACAAATTCAAACCTTGTACAAATATATGTATCAGTATATGGTTATGGAGATTGTTGAGTTTGATATCATGAATGGATTAATGTTAGACCACCACCGTTCGCAATGGCGCAGGTGCATCTACTCATTATGTTCTCCCAAATTGTAATCCCCTGAATTCGCCTTGTCTCTTTTTGTTCTCTTTCCAAATTTATTTCACTGGATTATACTCCTTGAATAACATCTTTAAACCCTCATCTTCCCGAATGCTGCTTGTAATCTTACTACCTCTACCACTACAGGATTTGAATCGACAACTGTATCTCTGTGCCAATGTGGTATGACAACTCGAACCGATGTACTTACATGCGAAGTTCTACGTTGTTATTGACTGACTGACTGACTGGAGACCACTATTGAAAAATTTCAAACACTGGATTGTCCTTTCGTCCTAGTATTAAACTCCTCAGTAGCATTTGAGGACGAAACAGCCGTCCAGTTTTTCTAAGTCTTCAATGGTTGTCTAACACTCATCCATGCACGATATCAATTGAAAAATATGTACCAGTCCAAGTTTTCATGGTTCATACTACTATAAAGAAACGACAAGAAAAAGAAGATAATAAATGAAATATCAATATCAACGATAGTAATGAACATCATAATGAAATTATTTTAATAGTTGAATTCATGAGTACATGTAAGTTAGATCACCATTGAAAACCCGGAAGCACTGGAAAACGGTTTCGTCCTAGTATGGGACTCCTTAGGAGTGCGCATTCACGATCCCGCGTGCGGGACTCGAACCTAGGACCTTCAGTCCAATTGTGTTAAGTTCAATATAACTTCAATTATTTTAAATAATCCCAAGAGATATTAATATTTTCTGTGATTATTACTGATAAAATTGTAGTTAGTATAGTGTAAAGGCATTGAATGCTGACCACATTAGTTTTAATGGACTCACCTAGTTGAAGACGCCCGGTCATGCATCCGCACCAGATCAACATCCCATGCAATCGCTAGCCAGTGTAGATCAGTTGATCCTCGATATATTGATAGCCTATCAAATATATCGTCGAACCTACTCGCTTGTCTTTTGATTTCACTTGGTGGGTATGATTCATAGTAGATGATATTGGTTAAAGCGTTGTCAAACTCCAAATATCTGTGGCATCTTCAGTATGTAAACAGTTCATATTAGTAAACAAAATGATTATGAATGACAGCATGAAATAAATATACCAAAGAGCTTACACAAATTTATTATCTTTCCAGTTTTGATGTGGTAAATGTTAAATCCATGAGACTATAATTTATGGATGACCCTTAAGAGTGACCTTGAGAATGTTCACTTACTAACTAAGACTAAATAAAGGTTATAAACCAGGGTGAAGAACTAGAATTAGGATTTATAGTTGATGGTTAGAATTAGGAATTAAATTTATGGCTTTCATCATGAACAGACATCAGTTATAATGCCAAAATAATATTTTACAAAATGGATAAATGAATTTCGCGCCAAAATTCAAAACCTGTTATCTTGTATCTGATTGATTTGTCCATAAATTATAGTCTTACCGTTAAATCATTACAAAATAATCTATGTTAAGTGGTTATAAAAATAAAACATTCGGTTTGTTTGTACATAACATTTTTATTATCAGTAATTTAATAGTGTATAATTTCTTTGTTTTGAACTATAATGAATTATTCTTGAAGAAGACTATAATTTATAATAGAGGCACTTCTTATTATCCATGACTAATATTCGAATGTTTAAAATATGTCAGTCATATAATGAAGTCTAAACAAGTTACTAAGGTATATAATAGATTTATTCTAACTGGTTAGTTATAGAAACTCATTATATTCTTCATCTGTACACAAAAATTGTTTGATCTTTAGGATCTTGTATTTATTCTAATAAATAAATTCATGTATCAATATTATTAGAAGTATTTGAATGATTATCAGTCAGTCAGTCAGTCAGCTACAACGTAAGATCAGTCACTTATATACATCGGTCCATGTTGTCACACCTCATTAATACAACAAGATGAACACTGAATTCATAGAAGTAGTTTGCATATAAGGAAATAGTACAGGAAGAAAGAATTAGTTCGTAGAAAGAAAGATAAAAAGCAATTTTAATCTCATGGCTTAAGAGAAGACACCTACGCCATTGTGATCGACTGTGAGCCATGTCACACAAAGTCCCGTACCATTGGTTATGATTGTAACATGAACCCTAATCAAGTAGTCTATATCTACCAACATGGCTCAGACTAGAAGATAGTGTACTTCAAGGAGTAATGTCAAATCCATCTCCAACACTAGTCAGTATTGCTCGTAGTGATTATATAAACCAAGAATCCTACAAATAACACAATTTAGACAAAATAGAACTAGATAAACATGAATAAATCTATTGTATTTGAAATTTGAAATCAAGCCAATATGAAGTATAAAATAATCATTACTTCATACAAATACCATAAGATCATATTAATAACTGTAAATATTTGTAAGTAAAATAACAAGAATATAAAGGAGAAGAAGACGAAAAGGCTAGTGGGGACAATCGAATGTGTTCGACAAAACATTACAGCACTTGTTAATAAAATCTAACAACCATATAGTGATACGTTAATTTGCAAAATAACAATCCATCATATCAAACTGGACTGTTCCTGTTGCAAACATCAATAGATTGTCTGACATTTCATTGTTCATGAGTTTCCATACAAATTCCACTGTGTTTCCGCTCTTCCTTTTTTAATCTTTCCCCATCTTCTGCTGCCAGATATTACGTTTAAAACTTGCGTCATATACTACTTATGTCTACATAAGTAGCACACACCACAGTTTCACTGTAAAAAGTCTCATTTGAACTGAGTTTTTATTTTCTATTTCAGGACCAAATAATAACAAGAATAATAAAAATGAATACAATAAAACTGATATTATTACAGAAAATCATATAGAATATGAATATTATTAAAAGAATACTTTACATAGAAAAGGATTGTTTTAATTATTTATCTATCTATCTATCTATACATGAATACATACATATACATAGTGGGATATGTTCATTTTCAATATTCAATAATTATCATTACTGATTTCATAATGTGTTAATTGTTTTCATTTTTTTAAAGTCATTATTACTATTATTATTATTATTGTTACTATTGACCTTTAATAGTTATCTATATGTTTACAAACTTTATAATAGAAAATATATAGAAGACAATATTTAAATAAATAAATAAATACATCATTCAATTACAATTGTGTTAATAAAATTTATAAAACCACTTGTTTTCTGATGATATTTTTTAAGGATCAGTTTTTTGTAATGATTTAGTTTCAAGATAATTTTTTAAATACCATATATAATAATCACCCTAGCAACCGTTATTGTATAAATCCTAATGGTGTATATTTTATAGTAAGTAACACAAAGTATATATTACTGTTTAGTATTGAATGGTGCAGATAAAATTACGAGTATATCAAACAAATTTAAACAAAAAATCTAATACATGTGAACAAGCGTGTATAGAGGTGGATTTAGAGTCAAATCGTAATCGGATCGAAATGAAGAAAAGCAATTAATAAGATTCAAGCATATATATATATATATATATATATATATATATATATATATATATATATCCATAGGGCAATATTCGAGGGTTGAAGTTCATTGCATGGTCATTATGTTTCCCTACCATCCATTGATTAGAAATTATAGGGTGTGATAAAAAAATTTAGGAATTGATGATTGGTGAAGTTGTTCTTGCAAGTGTGTGCTCAAGTGATAATGAACAAACATGATATCACCTATAATAATTTTTTTTAGTTAACTATAAAATGTACATCTTTGTAATTTGATTAGTTCAAATCGAAATAGCATCAAATAATTTGATTGGATGTGAGAAGTTGCATTTTAACATTTGAATTATATTTTGAATAAATAATTCTGTTTGACTGTTCCATAAGAATTTTAACTTCTGAAGAAAGGACACTAATTGTGTTTGACTACCCTGTTATACTCCTGTCTGTGAACGTATATCGGGATGAATTGTTTTCGATCAAATAGAAATGGAATTAAAGTTGTTAGTTTGCTGAACGATTTGACATAGGGTACGTACGTTGAAGGCTCCAATGTGTAGTTTGCAGCGAGGTTTCAGTAGACCTGGGACAGTGTTTTCCGAATAACATTCAGCGACCGGCTTTTTTTAATTTTTTTTTGATAAATTTTTTTTCACCCCTTCAAAAAAGTTTTTTTCATCCCATTTTCCAAAATTTTTCACCACGTTTTGTCCAATTAAATTGCTAGTTTTAAGTTCGTTATAATTGGTTAGTTATGTCTTGAAAGTGTTATAAAATGTCAGCACTCGTCGAAAAAGTACATTTTCATCATCATAATGGAGGAGAGTGACGTGCCATGTACAAGAGCTGTTGTTTCTCACGTTGTCACAGAAACGGAGAATGTATTTTTGACTACATTGTTTCTCGTTGCGTTTCAATCAGTTGAAGCGTTAAAGTCGGCTGTCAGAACTTATGAAAGATCTACGTTCTGTCATTATGTGGTGAGAGATTCTCATTTGGACAGAGATCAGAAATCGTATATTAAATTTGTATGTTGGAGAACTGGCCGTAGAAGATCTAGCGGTTCGTCACAGCCAATTAGACGGAGGAAGTAAATTGATTAGTGTTATTACATTTTTCTTCACGAAGGACTTCCATGAACACTCACTGTACTAACTCATGTAAACATTTTGCTAGACTGAACACTTATAAAAAATGGGCTATT